ATACTTTTTTTTTTAAATGAGAAATTTGTAGTAATGAAATCCCTTTCACTTCCCTTTCAAAAGCTCTGGGATTAGCTTCTATTCCCCTGAGAAAGTCAGAAAATATTGACAGATAGCAACCCAACACAGTGGAAACCTAGCTTAAGTTTTTGGGTAGTCTATTGGAATCATTCTCATATGGGGAAAAATTCTTCCTCCCCTGTATGTTTGGAAGGCAAAAGACTTACCTTTTCAGATGGCTTGTTGGAAGGCAAACTCTGCTAGGTCAAGAGGCTGGGCAAAATCCAGGCCATCCTTGTGGGGAACTGTGGCCACTGATTTTTTGTCTCTCCTCCTCCCCGCTCCCCACCCCACCCCACCCCATAAACACATACACCCTTTTGCACTTTGTCACAGGACAGGGCAGGGGGAGGAAAAAGGCGCTGCCCAGGGACTTGTAGGGCAGGGTGAAATACCACTTTTTCATCTCTGTAACAGGGGCAGGAAATACACTCAGTGTACCCTGAATTATTTATTTTTTTCCTAATAGAACTTAAATGTAGTATAACCAGAAAACATCAACAACTTGCTTTTGAGTCTTCTCTATGTCAGAAAAGAGCGAATACCAGGCTAACACATTACCTCCACTGATCACCTGACAGTATTATAAATTAATGGTCACAGCAGACTAAGCATTCATTTTTTTCACCTAAAGTACATGTGAAACTTCTTAATTTGAACAAACATACACATAAAATTTTGCCATTTCCTAGCATGAATCTCTCCAAAATAATGTTAGATTTGGATGTATATATTGCTCAAAAATAATGGACTGAGTTATACAAAACTAAGCAATTGAATTGAGGCTTATTTTCTAAGTCAGCCATTCATTCCACATGATGAAGTTTTAAAGCAATATCAGAAGGACTACCCTGTTTTACTCTCCTGTCTTAAAAAGTCCCTTTTGTAGAAGATAAGAGATGGTGTCATAATGAAATGGAAATACTTGCTCAGCCTGGCATCAGAGCAATGCAGCTTAGAGTAAAATTGTACTTGCTAAAGCTTTGACCCAGATATGTTTCATATACTTTCTGTATCTTTTTATTCACAGGTTTTCTGTTACTGAAAGGAAATTGATGCATTTTCCCATCTTATTTTCTGTATGAAAATCAAAATATGTTGAATACCTTTATTTGTGATTAACACGTATAGTGCCTGCCTTAGCTATTTATCTTGATAACTATCTTTAAGGAAGACTCTCTTAAGTTTTTATTCTATATTTTTTTTAGAACTTGTGAGTTCAAGCTTAAAAGTGAAAGAAAAAAAATACCAAAAAGGGAAATATTTTTCTCTAGTCAGGCATATCTATTTCATTGTAATAAAAGGTGAACCAAAATGCATCACAGATTTTTTTGTTGGTTTCTTCTGATCACTAGGTAGGTTTTTTATACACGCTGGGGTGCTTAGTTAATAGTCTGATAGCAGAAAAGGAGCACAGGAGCACAGAATAGCTGTGTATCTAAATATCTGCAACAGTTTGCTTAAGCAGATGACCACTCTAATAAGTAATGTGAATATTGAAATTGCTAGTGTAAAATTTTCCGTATATTTTTCTTCCAGCCTTTTATGTCTTTAATATATATACACTACCATTTTCTTGTTTAAAGTATTAAAAAGATGTACCACAATAAAGGCAAAGTTAGTGCTCGGATCTGTGTTTACTGGAATAGAGAGAGAAGTCTTAGAGCAAAGGCAGAGACTATATTTTTGGATGCAGCCTGTGTATAGGCATGCTAAGGGAGGCTGCTTGTAATAGTCTAAAGCCAACCAACCTATTGCAATAAAATGCTGTTCATTTTCTCTCATCCCTGATATTGTTTTGCTCAAAAGCATAGGAAATAATTAAGAAGGAAAATGCCTTTCATCTTCAGAGGAACTGGGTAGATGACCATAAAAGGGCTAGAGTGGGTTGCAGTTTGGTAGAAGTTTTGATAGGATATGGATTTTCAATACGTAGTTCGCCATGTCAGCAAAAACAAGTCATTACAGTTTTCTGTTGACATTCATAACTAATTTAAAGCAAGTCCTGATAAAATATGCAATTTAAGCCATACCCATTTGGTAATTGAACTCTTAGTTCAAATGATGACTGTGGCAATCAATTTTTATTTCCAAAATGGGCTTTTTGACTTCATACTGTGTTGCAAGTCATTTACTCCTATAAATATGCATTTTATAAAGAAGTCATTGGGGATCATTAAAAACTCAAATAAAACCATGAAAAAAAATATTTGCTATAATTGGGTCATCTATTATTACATTTTTCCTTGAAAAGGGTATGTATATTTCTGAAAGCTTTTTTTGTTGTGATGTATCACACAAAGTATTTCAAGTGTAAGTCAAAGCAACTAAACTTTTCAATTGAACATGAAATGGCCATGCTGTGCTTTTGTGCCTGCACGGCCATGGGGTGTCGGTGACACCTGAAAGAACATTATACATGCCAGAGTGGTCACAAAAACTATATAATACTTCAGTATAGAGAGGTTTGCACTTAGTGGCTTCCTTATAAAGCACTTATTTTCCTGATTCTTTAAAAAAAAAAAAATGCAGAGAGCTTTTATCTCTGAAGCTAATTTGCAAACTTAATTTGCAATTTTTGTTAAGCATACTTTCATGTTGAGAGTTCCATCCTTCTTGCACCTTTCAGTTATTTAATTATAAAAGTAATATCTACCCAGGGAAACTAACACATACGTTAAATTAGAATGATGACAAAAATTATTTGATTTTAATTGCTGTGTTGTCCACATTTACTATTGTAGATTCATCATTTTCTGCTTGAAAGTTGTGCAAAGCTTGTTGCTGTTGGAATCTAAAATGTTTGTGTCATCCTGTCCTCTGTGAATACAATTCAGGAGCTGATAGGACATAGGATAAAAGTCAATAAAAAGAGAATTATTTATTAAAAAGATCTAATGTTACAAGAACAGTACACAGGAACTATTATATTACTGTGTCTTCCACATTGTATATACCATTATATATAGCATATATACAGATTGTATACAATATATCTAACATTTTGATATGGGCCATGACAGTGTCTTTCTTTTGGTCTGCAAAACAAAGTTTATTTCTAATTATTTTTTTCCAAACAGATCTTGTGGCATTATACAAAAATACAGTCTCCTCAGTGACGCTGGACTGCACTATTACAATCTTTTACATGAAAAAGAAGAGAGCTCTCCATTGCAACTCAAAAGTAATATGCTATGATAAGGAAACATCTTCTACAAAGTAACAAATAGGTAATACATATGTACTTAAACATTTAAAACATGTTTATTAATATATTTAAGATGCAAAATACATATTCTGTTCATGTTGAATATAAAACATAACCCTTTATGTCCTTGCAATACAACATTAGCTGATGGTATGTTCAATATTTCTATCTGTATCTTGACACTAGAGATTGAGATATAACTAGATGCAGCTCTATCTCTTTATCAGAGTTTCATTCTTATTATAAAGCATAGCCATTTTTTCTGTTCAGAAAGTTGTTTGACCAAAATGCCACCAGCAGTGACTAGCCTTTTGAATACTCAGAAATAAACTGCATTGGCAAGCAACTGTATAAAAAAATAGAGGAAATTATGCTTAACTAATTTATAAAATAGCCATTTTGCTTTTTGGTTCATCACTTTATTCTTGTTTATTTTAACCTTTTGAAAAAAGATGGTTTTCTAATGCAAGTTTTCTGCACACTAGCAATGCTGCTGTTCTACAAACAACAGCAGGTAGTAATTTTCTATGAGTTTGCTCTATCAGCAAGCTATATTCCACCTTCATTTCTTTGATCTCAAAGACTTCTCCAGAAGAAGAGATATAGACTGTCTCCTTCTGTCTGTATCTACAGCCTATGCTCAGCTAGCTATTCGGCCTTTGTTTTTCTAGCAACATGGTGACTAAGGAAATTTAAAACCTATTTTTTAGAAAATTATTTAAAATATTAGTAGGTAATAAAGATTTGAGTTGAATCGTCTCTGAAAAAAATTTACTGATAAAATATTCAAAAGAAAAAAGAATTTAGCCATCAATCAACTTTTTACCTATCAAGCACTTGATCTGTGTTGTGCTTTCTTGGCTACTATTTTAAAGCTGCTAAGAAAGGGCACAGTTAGAGTGTGCTAGCTAAATGCCAAGTATTATTTTGCTAATGAGTTCACAAAATAATAGCTTTTTAGACCCAGAAGCCATCAACCAAAATAGATTTGCATCAAAACTTGTTAGAGGGACGGACAGTTAGAAGAACTATGCTATTAGGACTTGCCTGTTAAACTGTTTTGATTTGATTTTTTCCAGGCAAGGGAATATTCATCCTAGGTGCCATCCCTAGACACATGGAAGTAAAACATCCTCCCTCATAACACCATGCATATCATAACTGTACAAACACACACACCATATATATACTGGGGATCATTTTGATTCAGGTGCCAATATGTGGAAAGGCCTTCCAATGTAGAAAAATTGTCCAAATTGTCTATTCAGTGAAAAATTTTTTGGCAGAGCAAAAAGTGGAGATTAAAACTGTTAGCACACAGTCTCTACAGGAATAATCTCTAGTGAGCTATAGGAACAGAGTCAATTAGCTAAATAACGTGAATGATGCTCATCAGCATTTATCCAAGTATTTTTTTTCAGACACAGCGTTCTCCAAAATATTTCCTCCTGGAGTCTGTATATATGTGAATGATTACATTCCAAAAAATGTTAATATTCTCTTCATATTATGCTTTCATATATACTTCAACTTGATTACCAAATATATAAAGCACAGAATGTTCCTAAAAAATAGACCCAAAGGAAAAAATGTTACAACTGAGAAGTGATTGGAAAAAGTAGGTTTATCCTCTTTCATTGCTTCACTTGTCCACTTAGCAGCCTAATGTATATCATGTTTAAATGCCCAGTGGACTTTTTAATTGTCATATACATTAAGAATTGATTTTTTATTTGCAATTGAAAATAAATATTTGATTAATTTTTATTAAATCCTGTGGTATTTGATGAAAACCAAACTTTTTTTGCTTTTAAGTTTGTGTTTAATAATTTTCTGTTTTGCCTGCAATGAAATAAATATCTTATTTTCTGCTCCATTTTGCCACTTTTTGAGTGTACTGTCTAGTATTGTATTGACAATTCTTTTTGCTAACTAAATACATATTCATACATTTTCAGAACAAATGCTCCGTACTTTTGAAGTGGGCTGTGTATCTATACTATATTTTTCTCTCTCGTCACTTGGAACAGCCAGCCATAGGGGATACAAGAAAATATTCCACAAAACTATATCAAACCATGTTCTATATTTAAAAAATAATTTTTGTCCAAATCAAACATGTACTGTACTAGACACCACTGTTTAAACACCTAATGATACATGACTGGGGTCACCAAAATCGAACATATTAAAAAATAAAGTACGTTTGACAGAAATTACATTTTCTTACAAAAGTTTATTACATACAATCTGCATATTTTAGGGCCAAGAAGTGTGTCCTCCCCCAGAGGACTTTTACAAAAAATGAAGAGAAAAAATCCTGATGAATTACTGACTGTGTCTCCAACACTCTTCTAAGTGCAGCACAGGCATTTCTATGGGTCTTTAAGCATTAGCTTGGGTCTCTAGTTTCTTCACAGACATAAAACTCCATCCCTTTGTGTCATCAAACTAAAGCAAACAAATAACAACAACAAAGTCTGCGGTCTTCACCATGAGGTTGAAGGAACCATCAGTGCCAAAAGCAATGTTACGGAGGACGAGGAAGTGGACAACACGTGTAAGGTGGATTGAGCACTTGTTACTTTCCCTCCTGAAATTAAAAGCAAAGTAATTAAGGAATAAATGATGCAAACAGTTCTCAGTACACCTAGGTACTAGATTTAACCCTAAACTTGTATTCTATTACACTCGGCAAAAGCCTAACTGTTAGGCAATGGATTACCTTGTGAGAACTGCAATCACAAAATAGGCTCCCTAAGCAGACATGAGGAAATTGGGGATTTTATGATGATATCTACAGAAACTCATATTCTGAATCCTCATATTCAGTCTAAAATGAATAGGAAATTCCAAAAGGGTATGCAGTTTTATACCTTAATCCTCAGAAAGAATTAGGCTGCAGAACATGCCCTCAGTCACAGTCACAAATGTTCTTCCTGAAACAAGGAATGAAAGCTAGTCCTTGATCTTGATGTTTGTCCAGAAGAAAAAATGGTCTTTAGCCCAGTAGCCTAGTGATGTTAAAAAGCTGTGCTAAGGGGAAAGTTGGTAGTGACAACAGGTCACAGGACGGGAAGGGAACAAGACAGGGTCTCTTTGGACCACATCTTCTGTGCTAGACTAATCAGAAATATCAGGTTAGAGGGAATGAAAGATTTTGTGACCTAGAGTTATGGCTCAAAAGATACATGAAAAAAATATTCCATGGAGTAGAGGTTGGTGTCTTCTGCATTCTGATGATAGCATTGTTGTTTGTGACTAGAGTAAAGCTTAAATTTCAGGTTAAAGTTTCAGGTTCACACCATTTGGATAGTACTTCTTAAGGACAAAAGCACAGTATTTAGCAGAATTTTAAAGTGTTAATAGAAAGTTAGGATTAAGATGCCTTGTTGTGTTTAGGCAAAAGATAATGTTTTTTTTCTGGTTATTCTTGCCACTAATCCTTCCATCGCTTTCTTACCTGTAATATTGATACTTTAAATTCTTTAAAGATATTGCATTAACTTCCTATTGAGGAAAACAGTAACTAGACATCATAATTTACTTCATGGTAATACATTAATACTGTAATACATTACTAATTTAAATAAAGTAATATCTACTTAAGAGAGTCAATGGAACCTACAGAGAAATTCAGCTTATTCTAAAGCAGGCACATACACAGGGTGCAGATACCTAAATGCATACCATTTTGGCCATGTTAGATAGTACACCTCTGGCTGGTGGTCTAGAATGATGTGTGTGTCCTCCAAGTCCTGCATCATATCTGCCAGCTCTGTGCAAATCTTTTGGGTACCTTAGGACATCTCAGATGTCCTTATGTGGCTATGTCTGAATATTTAAATTCAGAAGATAAACTGAATTGCTGTCTAGGCTCCACTGTTGGTCTGTATGGATTACATCTCAGCTGACTATAATGGTATTTGAGACACCTAGTGCACAATTAGGTTTCCAGATGTTATCCTAGAAAGGGAGAATTTTCCTGTAAATCTTCAGTTTTGTTCATCAGCCCCACATGGATGCCTCAGATACTCTTGAGCATCTCAACTGTCACTAAGTACCTTTGTTTCCCCATAGAACTGAAAACTCTGATTAATGATTTTATCTAATAGCTAGAGAATTGTGAGAACATTTTTTTTTTTTTTCAGGTAGAAAATAATAGAGTTAATGAGCACTGCTGTAATCACCAGTCTTTCAAATACAAGTGTAAGCTTACCTGAAAAAGATGGAACTCTGATCTGGGGACTTGTAGTCCCATCCCCTCCTTCACTGACTGCACAGACCTCAATGATATAGACACCAACGTCAGGAAGAAGTACCACTGCAGAAGTTTTCTGTGTTTCTATAACTTGACTATTGCTCTGGCCTTCTTGCCTAAATAATACCTGCGATCAATAAAGTGGATAGTGGTCATTCAAGTTATATACCAGACCTAAAAAGGTGTTACACATTTTTTTTTCCAAACTTTCTTCTAAATGCATTTTGATTTCCATTTAATTCAAATTCTTATCTCCAAATTAATGTACCTATTCACATTTTTGGGTCAAGAATCCAACTTCAAATGTAAAGAAAATGCCCTAAATAATATCTTTAGTGTGTTTACCTTGGCTGGCTATCTGATAGCTCAGATCTGTCCCTGCATCTCCTGTGAAACTCAATGCAAGCTTATGGCATGTGGGAGGAAAGCAAGTGAGTACATAGCTGTCTCTGGTACTTCTGCGTAAGTTTCTGTTCCCAGACAAAAACTGAAAAGGTCAGAGAGGTGTAAAAAAGCAAAGTAGTCAACTGAACTTTTTCAGAATCTCAGCTATTCTGATAAAGGTTAGAGAAGTTTCAGATTTATTTGAAACATTTTACACTTTCTTGGTGATATTTCCTGATGTATCAGAGGGAATATCAGATTGTAGTCTATAGAAATGGTCATATATATGCTTCAAGAATACTCAACCACTCCGTGAAAACATTGAAATAATCCTGTTTTGATCTGAAAGACTGCAGTAAATTCCTGCACTGTATGCTTTTTAAGACTTGCTATTTAGGAGTTAATCTGGATTTTACCCTTTAAAAGTTCAAAACTTTAAATGCTAGATGTTACTGTCACTGATTGTTGAACATCACCAACATGATCACAAAATAAACCAAAGTATTGGTGTTTGTGCTCCATAAAAATATTAATTTTAATGCCATTTTAAGATGTCTTATTCTTCTGCATTTCTATAAATCCTACTGCAAACCATTAAATTGACATGTTAGTAGGAATTTCATTGTAGTGGTCTTATGAATAGCTACTTCTGAGTCAGATATGATCCCCCCAGATAGAGCTTACTCAGTTTATAATCAGTAGTTGAAAATCACAACACAGAAAATGTTGGGACATTTCACTCTTTTCAATTTTATTTATTGCTTTTCATGGTGAAAACTGATTGCAGACAGTCTGTATAGCATGCTTAACTTAACAGAAAAACGGTAGTCATTTGAAACAGAGAAAGGTGAACAAGGAAGGGGAAGCACTGACCTTGTATCCCATAACATCAGATTCATTAGCTAGAGGTCTGACTGGCTCCCACCCAAGAGACACATGAGAGCCATCCTGTATCCACATAATATTGCTTGGTGCTTGGCTGGGAGCTGAGGAGAAAAGATAACAACATGTACATAAGTATAGTTTATAGGTAGTTTCTTTAAAATAAAAATAAATGTACTTCAGTCTTTTATTACATTTATAACTGGTTGTGTTAGCAAGCTCCCAACTCTAGCTGGAATTTGAAAATATATTTTTGCACCAGTACTGTCATTTAATAGATTGTGATGTGTTTACTCAGCCCACCCCATAAACTCGACAGAGATTAGGAACTTGAATTCTTTTCTGTCCCTTCTTTGTCAAAAATGCCTTGTTTTCTAGGAAGGTAACCTTTGTTATGAATGCAAAGTCATATGAATTCATGTCTAAATATCGAAGCAAAGCCATGAATCAAAACTATACATGATTCCTGATTATTATACATTTTTATTGAAGGAAAACCCAAGAGGGCAGAGGTTGTTCCCTAACTTCTCCGTTTGAGCAAAAATACTGAGATCACTTACGGGACTTCTTGGTTGCTGCACGCACAGCAGTGCTAGGTGGTCCATACCCTGCAGCGTTGTACGCCCTCACTGTTAGGTGATATAATGTGTTTCCTTCTAATCCTGTCAGAAGGACAGATGACTCATTTCCCTCAGTTTTGACCTTTTCTGCTGCTTCCTCCTGCTCCATGTCCTTCCAGTAACCAATCTGCCAACAAGCAACCGAATGAAAGATTAATATAAGCATTTGGGAAACTCATGCTTTCAGATGCTCGTACCTGTTATCCTGTGGAGGGTGTTTTTACCATTTCTGCCATTTGCCTAATTATAAGGCCCTTTTAGACATGTAGAATTTGCAGCCTAAGCTCAGACCCAAGCAATGGTCACTTGTCCAAAATGGCAAGACTCAGAATATTATGGTATTACCTGAAGCATGTTGAATTGCTGTGTACCGGCACAAGAAGATGTAACTACAAGATGGAAGACCAGAGAATGAACGTTGCCAGGAAGTCAAAAGTGTTTCAGAGAATTCAAGGAGAGCTCATTCTCTGGTAGGTCACCAGAATATCTATGTTCACCCTGGAAAGATCTGTCTGTATAACTTAAGAAGTGTTGTGAGCAATATTCCCTCCCTGGCCCTCTGCAACTCAGAACCATGATAAGAATATCATGTAATGAACAGGAAATGAGAGAGCAGATTGAATGTGAAAAATCTTAACTGAAGAAAAAGAAGGATGTGGATTCAGTTTTAGTTCTTCGATATAAACAGACTTCTGGTAAATGCAACTCTGATAGTACATTTATGCCTTTCCTTTTCAGACATAAAAATCCTAAATTAACTTTGTTGGTTCTTAGCCCATATGTCTGGTATCTGCACTGAGTTTCAAAGAGGTTATAGATCTGAGCTAGGAATTTGACTAACCTCTTTCCTCAGAGACCAAGTATTTGCAGGGCATAACTGGAAAAAAGCAGTACTGTCTCTTTTTAATATATCTAAGTGACCTGCACAACCAAGGTAATTCTCATGGGGCTCTATTTTCCCTAAGAGGAGATGTCACTAATGTGCCATTCAAAGACCTATATTCAGCTTACGTTACTCATGCTGAGACCTACTTGCACTTTTTCCACATTTTGACCTTTTCTGTGAAGCTAGTTATTTCATAAGAAGTTATTCCTATTATATCTGGAAAACTTTTCCTCTGAGAAAAAGGTCATGGACAATACAGCTCTCTTGTGCATGTATCCCAGAAAATGGTGAAAAAAAAAACCCAAGGGGTTCATAGGAAAATAAGACCAATGAGTACGATGTTAACCTTTTATAATTGCACTAGGACTGCCATTTAAAAAAAAAAAAAAAAAAAATCTAGAAAGACCTGGCTGCAAAAATATACATTTGAAGTCATATCCTCACTTGAGTAAAGTAATTCTGTTAACTTTGATCAAGGATATATCAATTTGTGCCAACTCAAAGTCTACTCTTTCAGTTGTAAAATTAATGTAAATATTTTTTTGTGTGTGTCTGCATTATCTCACCTTAAAAAGCTGTTGTTTCTATTTTTAGGTTAATTAATCTAAGATAGCAAATCTATCTGTAGTCACCACCTGTCATTGAGATAAGTGTGATTCACTAAGGTATTTTGCTAGCTGAATGCTTGACCAACCCTGCTGGTATCTGAAGTAACACCTAGTCATGTCTGTCTTGGAAAGAAAAGGGAATCAACAAGTGTTTATTCATACACTAGGACTGAACGTCCAATGCTTATTATCTCTTGGGCAGTCAGATTCCTTTCATTTTACTTGCAATGCATCTTTACAAGCTTGACGCTACAGTGGTGAGAGCCACATATTATTAAGCACTGTACAAACAGGTCATGACAGGCAGCACATGTCCTGGGGACCCTATCATCCAGTTAGTGAAGTCTGCTGAGGATCCAATAGGGAAATGGTCAGAAAGGAAAAGAAACTTGCCCAAGGTTGTGCACCTGGACAGTAGCAGGGGTGGAAACGCAACAGAAGTAGTGAAAACCTGGTTCTAGAAAGCCAGGAGCAAAATTATAAGTAGCCCAATAGGTCTCATTGTGGTCGTTTATTCACAGGACACACCACTTCTCATGTGAATGCGATGTTCAAGACAGTAGATAGTTCCCAGCTTTTGCACTGATGTCTTTTTCTAGTATAAAAAGTTGTGAAAAACTGATTTTCCAAATATTAGTGCTAGGACTACATAGATATTAAAACCTAAATGAGTGTGGAAGAAACCTAGGTCCATAACTTAACCCTTTTGATATTTTTCATGTGTTTGGAAATGCTCTCGACCACTGCTTATAAGGCATTTCAGTTTGGATACTAAGTATATCTTGCACATGTTAAATCTGCAAAAAAAAAAAAAAAAAAAAAGGCATGTTCCCTACGAGTTCTGCTGCACCACATGACAGAGGTGTTCTCCTTTGGCAAAAGGGTATTCTTGCAGGAATTAATATACTGTATTAAGTAGCAAAAGCATGAAATGCAATTTGGCAGCACTTCTATTTTGGCTTCTCCTGTACTTCAAAGTCCTTAAGTGTTTGGTCCTTGCTTTTAAAATTCCCCTTAAACTTTTTCCAGGTGTGTTTGGACTTTGATCTCAAAATATGTTTTTTCTCTTTCTTTCTTAATGCACGTTTATTGATGGCCAAATGAACAAAAATGAAATGAAAAAGTGGTTATAAAAAAACCCCAAAACTCCAATGGTTGTTGACTGAGTTTGATAGTGGAGGAATTTACATCAATTTGAATTGAGTTTTTAAATTTTTGCTGGGCTTTCTGTTTTTCATCTGATTCTCAGAAACCCATTTCTTTGAGCTGGAGAGAAAGTAACAATGATATTTAAATGATTGAGTAGAGGAGATGCAGGAACATACAAGCTACTTTGTCCTGATCGTGGGTCAAGCATTCGTTAAAAGTAAACCATTGCATTCAAAATATGTTTTGATCCAAAATTTTTCTCTCATCTCTAAAATTTACATGCTTCTTCCTTGAGGTTTCATGTTAAAAATTGCCTTAAATAATATTACACTTCTTCCCAAATTGGATTCTAAAGTATGCACAATAACACTTTGGTATAAACTTATGTGATCTAGTTGCAGTCCCTCTTTTCTAAATTCAGTAGAGTCAGAGTTATTGTCTGGTTAATCTTCCTGTTGATCACAGAGACTTAAATTTACAAATTAGGCATTTCACGTAAGAGTCTAAATTAGGTAGGGTGAATTGAAATGGGCAGACACATAAACTTAATAGTCAATATCAGAAAACATATGAGCTCCTTGAACTGACACACTGCAGTCATGTAAATATTAGCGCTGGCACAACTGAGATCATAGAATGGTTAGGGTTGGAAGGGACCCTAAAGATCATCTAGTTCCAACCCCCCTACCATCAGCAGGGACACCTTCCACTAGACCAGGTTGCTCAAAGCCTCATCCAGCCTGGCCTTGAACACTTCCAGGGAGGGGGCATCCACAACTTCTCTGGGCAACCTGTTCCAGTGTCTGACCACCCTCACAGGAAAGAATTTCTTCTTAATATCTAATTTAAATCTACCCTCTTCCAGTTTAGAACCATTTCCCCTTGTTCTATCACTACCTGCCCTTGTAGAAAGTCCCTCCCCAGCCTTCCTGTAGCCTCTTCAGGTATTGGAAGGTCACTATAAGATCTCCCCAGAACCTCTCTTTTCCAGGTTGAACAGTCCCAACTCTCTCAGCCTGTCATGGTAGAAGCAAACACCTGAGACAGGAGAAGAGGCAAGTTTTTGTATCTTGTGCTATTGCTTTTTGTATCATCGCAAGATATTGGTGCAACTGTCCTTCAGAACAGGATGAGAGGTTTCTGCAAAATGGTCAGTCAACCTCAGTTCCTTCCCTCTCACCAAAACAATTGCTAACTGAAAAGAGGGAAGAACACACTGTTCTGTACATCAAGGTTCTGGGATCTTTTCTGGAGTAGCTTGCATCCTTCTCCTCTTTTCTCAGATACTCTGTTCTCCCACATAGTACTACACGCACATGGGATGAAGACTGGTATTGTACCTCAACTGACATATGTAGTAATATTTTCTTATGAAAAATCAGTAATTTTCAAGATTCCTGATTTTAGGTAATAGAAAACTAGTAGTCTTGTTACAAAACTATTCATAATACAGACGTTGCAAAGGGTGTGGGTCTCCTGAGGCTCTCATGAGAGATCTAGAGTGTAATCCATACCTTAAGAACTTGAAAAGCAACAGTACTGCTTTTCAGGTATAAAAAGTATAATATCTTGCTTCTAATCTTCAGGATTTTAGAGGGGTTTGAATTAACATATGAGTAAATTTGTGGGCAAAATTGACTCATATATAAAACTATCCAATCGCTATTTTTGTGTTTGGGAAAATTCGTTCATTCCAAAAGTGAAGTCTGGAAAATCAGTATTCAGGTTGATGAAACACAAATTCTTCTATATTCTGTCTTACTTTACCAGCCTCTGCTAGCAACATCCATATATTTTTAAATTACTTGAGGGTATATTTCACTAAATTAAGAAAAAACACATTCCAGTACCTTGTAGACATAATGTTCTGTTCCACTGTAAAAACAGATAAAGTACATCCAAGAAACAGCAAAAAATCTTGAATATTTCTCTTTGAAAACATGGAATATAACATATACAAGTTATCCTCTCTGCAAATGGCATTCAAGATTTTCTATTTTTTATACTTTTTTTTTTTTAATTGCAAGTTGATCTTTTGATTAGGTTAGTCAAGCTCCTATCCCTTGGGGGAATTCCAATGAAAAAGACATGAACTTTGTGATCTATACTTAAGTATTAGCCTTGGTTTTCTGGAAAAGAAAAAAGAAAAAAAAATCTATTCTTCCAGACAGTAATTCTTTCCCTTTCCCTTCCCTACCAATAGTGAGTGACAAAGAAAAGACTGCCTAGGGCTGAAATAGGTTTTATAACCTTCAGGTTATGAATTCTAAACAATAAGTATGAACCACACACTGTATTTTTCTACCATTCTGACAAAGTTTTCAAGCTATTTCTACTTTACCAGAGTGTATCTGACACATATTTAGCAAGGTCGGGCGGACAGCTGACAAATCTGTACTGAAGTTAGGAATAATATGTGCTTTGGAAGATGCAAATGAGTAAAGCAAACCTTGCATAAAACTCATGTGACATAACAGTTAACACTGCCTTTCAGGGATGACAATGTGAAATTGGACAAGTTACTTTGCCTTTCATTATTCCTTATTACAAAGTGCAAACGGGGCTGGAGTGAAAGTGGGTCACTGCAAAGTTGTCCATATGTAGTAAATATTCTGTCACTTTTGTTGACTAGAGCCCCAATATATATATATAAAAGAAAATCTCCTCCTTTTATAATGCTGTTGCTAAAAGGCCAGGAAATGTGAAGACTATGTAGGTGGTTGTCACTGCTGTGGTGACCACAGGCAGAATACAAATTGAGACATGAAAACTAAGTGGCTAGTCAGATTATTTTGCATTCAATTTGTGTTGAAAGCAACATTTTACTACATATTGCCTCACAATAATTCTACTATAGGATAAAATTTTTAAAATAAAGAGAAATCATTCAACTTTTTACCAAAGTCACTGGGCTTCTCTATGTTACCTATTTGCTATTTGTGCATCAAGGGAGTACTACGGGTGATGTTCTGCACTGTAATACATATAATAAAATTTTCAAAAATCAATTTTAAAATTAAAATAGTGTTTACAGAAGATGAAGAAAGTGAATCATATGGAAAGCATAAAACTGTTCCATACATTTTTTTTTTTCTGGGGGGGGGGTGAATTTAGCCCTGGTGTCTTTCTATACAGAGTCCTTCCTTTTGGCACTGAGGAGATACTTTAAAGAGAAACTGTCAGAATGTTAGCAAAATTGGGCTGATAGTGTGGGCTTAGTGTTCCTACTTGAATATTGTAATACACTGACTCACTATACTGAACCTATAAGTCATTATCTCCTTTTTGATGAAATCCTTCCCAAAAATGGAACAGAAAAGATCTAT